CTGCAAACCCTGTTTAACTTGACTGGCTGAGCTTCGATGGGTTATAGATGATTCTGGAGACAAAATCTCAGCTGAATCATCTGACGAATTCTGACAATGTGATTTCATATGAAGAAACATAAAAATACAGGTACTTTTTTAGATGTATGTATTATTTTTATGTCAAATCACTGTGTAACTGTTAAGTACAATAAACACTTGAAAAGAAAGGGTAAACTTGGAATATAAATGTACTTTAACTTTAGTTACATTTTTATGTAATCGTGAATTGGAATTGCAACCTTCATTAGCACTTCTTGTAGACTTAATTTCGGTGAAAATGTATTCCGAAAACATTTCCGTGAAATTGTTGGAATGACTTATAACAATACCACCAAGGGTAACAGTTGTTCTTCATGAATAACTTTGCCCTTCTTTTATCAAGATGTTTCTTCCTCTCCAATCGAGAACCCTTTCCGTAAAATGGTCTTTCCTGTTGGAGATGACTGGAGAGTGGTTATTGATAACTAAACTGAAACGTCTCTGATATAAGATATTCTTCCTCTGATACCTTGAGATCTTAGCAGTCAATAGATCAGGGCATGGTAATCTTATAGGAACTTTACTTTTAACATATCTTATAGGTCGAAGAACTCTATTCCTTTTCTTGTCTAATGTCTGCTTTCTGAATAACCTTGCAGCCTTTGTATCAGAAATCTTCATTGTCGTTCATATAATTTTTCCTTCTTCTTAAAAAACCAATGGAGTATAGAATCTCCAATGAATAACTATGAAAACATCCCCTAATATTTTACTGAAGTTCTATCATGAATAATATGTTTGATATTGATTATTGATATTGGTTGAGTAACTTATCTTATATATGTAAATGATAAAGATTGATACATTTTGATAAGTATCAATTATAATGAAGTTAATACAGGATATTATAATAATAATTGACAAAGGACTGGAGGTTTTAATAATAGTGCTTAACAAATTTACAGAATTATACAATCCATGGTATTAAATAAAAGAATATATTTCCAAACTATAAAATAATTATGTACTATGGATATGAATAAAAGCTTAATTGAAAATATATTTTACATATGGTAATTATATCTTTACAGGAATACAGAATTTATGATATTAAATAAAGTAAAATATTTTCCAAAATATAAGATTATTAAGTCATATATATGTGAATAAAATTGTAAAGTGAAATATATTATTAATATGTACATGAAAGATTGCAGGAAATAGATTGATGACATTGTTGACATAAAAATATATGTGTAATCACCAAATAAATGTCAAAAAACAAAATAAACTAAATTATGAAAATCATTGTACTGAAATTTATTAAAAAAAATTAACTTATTCTCCGAAAATGAAAAAAAAAACTACACTTAAACTTGATTACAACACTTCCAATATCAATGACTCCTTGTTGGCTGCCTTCTGCGCGTTTATACGAAATCCGAGTTTTATACCAGTTGGGATCCTTTTCAAAGTCATCATATATTGGAGGTCTCCTTGAACAATGAATCTATGTGGAAAATCTCCAGAACTGGCACGAACCATACTCATTATAGGTTCTCCATCGTAGTATAGGATCAACAGTTGATAGTCTTGAATGTCCAATCTTCTGACAATGTGCCATGGTATCTCCTGTGGTAAATAATTGAGTCAGTACATTTAAACTTGATGAAAAACACAATTCAATTTAAAAACTTTTGTTACATATTATAAGTAAGATGTAATATTAAAACAGATCACAAATTTACCAGTCGGCCTTTGTTAATTACATCATTGGTCATAACCACATTGAAAGTATTCTGATCACTGTTGGACCTTATGTAGTTAATTATGTCAACCTCACCTGTGAAGAAAATACTACACTTGTTATGAGTTTTATATAAACACATAGGAATATATATGAATTTATATATAATAAAATACACAAGAGTAAACAAATGACGTAAACTTATACAAACCTTCGATGTGTCCGAACCGACCGTGTTTTGATGATTGCTGATACAACACTTTTTGTTAAATACCCCGACTCTAAAGTATTGGTTTCAGTGTAAATCAATATAACATTTACACATTCATAGTGGTTAAAATAAAAATCATGGAATTCTTCCCACATAAGGCCTTCAAAACTCGCTAGAGCATGTTCTTGTGTATATATCCAAACTTCCACCGCTTCGATTATCATCAATTACCAATGAAAGTTTTTGTTCTGAAGGCCAATTTATGGCTCTAAAGTACTGTGTGTTAATAACCTAAGGTAAGGAGGAAGATAAAACAGATGATAAAGTTATTCCATATATTAACAGATTAAAAGCCAAGTACCATATATGAAATTCTGGTTTAAAAAACTTACACATCGATTGGCAACGTTTGGATTCAATTCCAAGAGGTAACGACTGCCAATATTTGCAGTTGAATCAGATCTGAGCCGCTGTGTTCCATCAAATAAAAAATAAAATAACTGAAGAACTTTTCTTTGTTGATGGTAAACAACGTGAATTTTTGTGTGAGGAGATACACCAATGGATGTAAATAATTCTTCTAGAGCATTCCCCCACAACTGACATCTTCTTTTTTTCGTAATATGTAAATTTGCAAAGACAGTTTGTCTTCCCTGGAATTCAACCATTATTTGCTGACCGACATGCTTCATATTTGCAGTAAGGTTACTGCTAAGTATCTGATAAAATCAAAAAACTTAGAAACATGATGATATATTATATATTAAACAGGCAGAATATATGTTATGTATTTACCAAACCCTTTTTCCATATGTTTGTTGGGACAGTAATAAGTTGATCGTACCCAAAATCCATGGCAACTTGTATTCTGCCTGTTCTTAGAATGAAAAACACTGTGAAAAGAAGGAGAAAGAACTTTGTAACGATCTAGATACGTTATGTGTGATTATAAATAGTCTGGATATGTTGTACAGCTATTTAAGGCACCTTAAAATTAGGAACAGATGTGTCAGTTTGGAGGAATTCTATTCCAAATCAAACTGGTATTTCAGTCTTTGATAATGACAACTACTCAGTTTAAATTTAACTAATATTTTATCAATATTCTGAGAATCATATTTTAATGTAATGCCTTTATGTTTTCTGTTTATCTAAATATATATTTGATATTAAACTGTACATTAGTTTTTAAATAATTTATATTGAAAATATAACTTGTATACATATAATTGTATTTAGTTTTTGTCAGGTAAGTGTAAAGTGAACACAACCAATAATTTACTACAAATAATTCATATTCTGAAATCGACATATATTATTTAATAACATTGAAAACATGATTGTATACTTTTTAAAACAAACCTCTGTTACCTAAAAGGTGTACTTATTACAGGAAAAACAACCAAAATGGCTGAAAAAGTAAGCTGCAAACTAAACAGTAGTAACAATGAATCTGCTCTTAATGAATATATCCTTCTTTTAATACAAAGATACAAAAACTTGTAGCGTGCAACATGACACGCTTGTTGGAGTTGAAACTGACACTTATTCATTATATTTAGGAAATGATAAACTGTTCAGTGGAGCATGTGATCTGTTTCATCTCCAAGAAGTCCATTATACGAACAGGCAGAGCACAAAAGTGGAATCTGCAAATATAAAGCATAGTAAGTCATCAAATTTTTCCACTTTCAAGTAAACCATGTATTTATATGTACATAATATAAATACATACAATGTTCCTTACCAGTGCATGTATACTCTAATATTACTAAGATCGCAAACATGATCCATCAACTTCAGAAACCTGCACTTTTTATTAGGAAGTAAAAGCAAATATGCAGGCAATGATCTATTGTTAGAAGGAACATAAAAATTATAAGAAATATAAAGTGGATAAAAATGGAAATTCCAATATCATACGGCATACTATTATGAAACTTAAACAAATAAGTTTGAAACAAACATGATAAAATCCAACGGATGTACTGATCTCAAAGGAGAAAGACGGATTAAATGATAAAGTTCCAAACGAAAACTAAATTCGGTGAAGGGAAATAAATTGTCTGCAACATGAATCCTTTTTTAAGACAATAAAATTCTTTGTAATTGTTCATTCGGATTAAAGCTTTCTGACACGCTTGTTGGGCTGGGACTTGACACTTTCTTCGCCAGATTGTGCAGATGCATGCTTCTTTGGTGGAGGATCACACCGTTTCATCTCCGTGAGCTCCCATATCATTATCGCGGTGCAAGAAACTGCATGCCTCAGAATATAAGGAATAGTAAGTCAACAAACTTGTTAACTTACAAGAATATGTATGTTTTATTTGTACATTACATAAATCATTGCTATCAAATACCTTAGCAAAGGTGCTCTCGATAATGGGGTTAAATTATGGCGAATTCGGCACTTAGCTCAGATCTATTTCCGCAAAATGTATGAAATAATTTGACTTGTAAACAATATCAACAGTTATTACATTGTTACGAAATATATGTTATAGTTAAAACTCGATCATCCGAAACAAGATCAAGGTACTTCCTTATAACGTCTCGCATCTGTTGTAACCCTTGCAACCGATATCTCACCGGTATTGTTTCTAATGTTATAGTCCGAGACATCTAGCCCGAATGTACACTTTTTCCCCACAATTTCATCTAGAATGTCGTGGTAACCTCGGGATACCGTTATAGCATTAGAAAATTAGTAGAAGATAATAATCAATAACTTGAAAGGTATGCAACAATTACAGTTGTATAGAAACAATTATCCCTGTAATGGTATATAATTTGTACCTCTTCACGTAGCACAGAAGCGGTCTTGTTTATGAAGTTATAAACCATTCTGTCCCATAGAGTACCAATTCTGCTGCCTGAACCATCAACTAAATACACTTGCAACTTAAATCTGAAATTTGTGCAGCAGTTACAGATTGTACAAAGTACAATAAACATAGAGAATAAAGTAGACTTTAATATGAAAAACATTATAAACTATATAACGTGACTATAGTTGTTTTACTTTGCAGCGACGGCAGAAACAGGTCCATGGTTTTTGCACATCCATCTCTTTGCTAGTCTAACTGGCTTTTCATTATCTACTTTTCTACCTTTGCCAAAGGCCGACCGTTGTTTACCACCTGTGAGGTTTTCCTTTGCAGATGATTCAATCTCAACAACCTTACTGTTACAGTTGCTACAGCCTATGTATGACCAGTCATACTCTTTTGCCAATCCAGATATCTTTGCAAAAACAACAACACCTGATGGCTGTAAAATATGACAATACAGGGTAAGAAATGAATACATATTATATAGCAGTAACATTACTTTGTATGGCTTGAAAGTATATATTAACTTGTTACCTGTTCCAAATCATCAATTCCAGCCAGTGTCAACATCTCAGCATCACGCACAAATTCATCGAAATTTGTGTATCCTGAAATAGAAGATAGCATGGATATCTTATGGATGCTTGCAGATCTAATATCTGCCTGATCAACCCTGTGAAGGTGAGTTCATTACTTGACACTGCATGGATGGTTTCATTTAAGTATTTGTATAAACTGTGACAATAATTTTCTTTTACCTGAATTTGTATTCGTATATATCTGGAATGGTCAAGTCATTTAGGAAAATCCTACCATTGAACATATTTGTTGTGATTGAAACTTTAGCTGGATCAGATTAGAGTATAGATGTGTCACTAAAACTGCTGAAATTTGTTATCAACAAACAAAGATATGCTTTAAAACGAAATATACTTACAGTAGTATTTTTTGCATTTGACATACTGAACAATAAGGACAATAGGGTAATCAGGATTATTAGTCATCATGGTATACACCTTGTCTGCGTGCTCATCCCATAATGTGACCTCTAACCTATCGGCCCTACGATTAATGTAAATATAGTTAAAATCACTTATGCATACTGAATTGAATAAGAATATTTTTACATACATACGTATTCAAATTATATACATTGGTAAAATCACTTACCTTTCATCTTCCAATTCGACCGAAATCCTCTTCTTACCATTATCAATAATTGGATCACTGTAACCAATTATGTGTCCCAACAAATCTGAGATATATGTATGCATATTATTCATACTTGCATGTTTGCTTAATAGATACATAAGGAAAATATTATACTAAATGCTGAAAGATGTTGTCCTTACCAAAACAGAAGTCAAAATTTGCAACAAAATTGGTAATTTCTGCAAAAGGGGTAAATTCAAATACATGATTAGAGATGTCATGGTAACCAACAGATTGAACAATTGTATCAGGTCGGAATACAATTTTGTATTCGTGTTTTGAGCACCGATATCCCCCGCTTATATTCAGGCAATGATCAAAACGTGATATCTTCCTGGCACAGCCCTCTTGAAGGAAATACTTCTGGAAATCTTTCATTATCCTCGCAGGTATAGTAGCCTGAATCTTGGATCCCTATATTTCAAAAAGTTTGGACAAATAAGCATATAAGAATTGCATCTTCTTCATGAGTAAAACATTGTTTGATGTTGAAAACTGTATTAAATAATATAATACATGAGCATCAATCAATGCCAACTCAACAGATTTGACATTCTTGTTTTTATTCTCTATCATTTTCCAGATGGTCATAACACGAACAACTATGTGGAAATGGATAGTTTTGGTTGGTACCAAGCCATTGATGTCAGCAATGTACCTTTGTGCAGATCATGTTGGAAATGTCTGATCAACATTAGGAGGTATTTGATTTCCAGCAAGTGGTTTTTCAGCATGGTGTTGTTTTTCAGAATCAAGAACAGGTGTATGTGTTTCCATTGAATTAGCAAAATTGTGGGTTGCAGATCCAGAAATAGGATTTTCAGGATAGTTTTGATTGTGAGAATCAACTTCAGGAATTTCTGATGAAGCCATTGGCGTTGCAAAAACAGTGGGGGTTTCTGATGAAGCCATGGGAGTTGCAGAAACAGTGGGGGCTTCTGATGAAGACATGGGAGTTGCAGAAACAGTAGGGGTTTCTGTTGAATAGGAAACAGAAACAACAATAGAGCTTTAGAATAAATGGTCGCAGGTTTTGGTGAGTATGACATATCTCTATCAAATTATATATATACAGAGCATGTGATATTCAATTCCATGAAAATCTGTAGGTAAGCATATCTCTTTGATTCTGATGTTAACTGAATGACTGTTTCTGAAGGTAAGATTTTGATTTTTAAGGAGATAAACATGGATCAATCAATCAATCAATCACTGATGGTAAGGATATGGACTTGTTATGAATTGTTATTTAATTTAATTTGAATATGTAATTTATAAAATTCAAAACTGTTATTTGGGAAGATTATTTGATCTTTACTGTATATTTGCAGCAACAATGTATGGAAAAGAGACGATTAAGGCAGATTTCAGGGAATCAAACGGATGACAATGCAGTAAAATTTGCTAATGACACATATCTGGATGCATGATATAATTGGGTTACAGCAACTCTGCAAATTTACAGTTGCGTTTTTGTATTGTAATAAACAGAATTTTTACTAATCATCTTTTTATTTACTGTTTATTACCAACCTTACTTACATTTATTCATATACATATACTGTAATTATGAGATTGATTCGGATACATATACTGTAATTATGAGATTTATTCGGACGGCCAAAATTTTAGGGATATAACTTTGGTAGATTTTCAAAATTTTAGGGATATAACTTTGGTAGTTTTTTTTTTCTTTTAGTTTCTTAAATAAATCCCTGAAAAAATTTCATCAAACATCATTTTTCTGCTCATCTGATGAGCCACGTGGCATTTTTCATTTTGTACTGAAAAGTAGCTTTGGCGGGAAAATTTTTAATGTGAAGCTGACACGTGTGCTTGTTGTATGTTGCTTTAATTAAGTACAATGGATGGCGAAATTAAATGGCATTATTTATTTTTAGTTTTTTATATTAAAAAATGTGGGAGTCCCAATTCCACTAATGTAGCATTTCTTTTTATTGTTTTTGAGAGACAAGGAATCCTATGTGTCACATTTATGTGACGCTCTTTGTTATGCAATTCAATTATTCTTTATAAATCATATTATTTGTGTTAATACATATATCATAAACACATATTTTCAATGTAGATTATTTTTATATTATTATTTTATTTATTGTATCAATATTTTATTTTATTTTTAATGAAATTTGTCTATTTTACTGAAATTTTCAACTATAAAAATTAAAATAAATATTCTCTAATCCGAAAAAAGTAAACCTTCAATTTTAAAATATATAATTTCGTAAGTAATTGTGAATGGTATAAATATTAATGCAAATTACAAAATTTACACAAAATTATTGAATGGTACAACAGAGAGTGTCAAAAAAAAAAAAAAAAAGTGGCATAGAGGATCTCGTGCTTTTTTTAGAGCCACTTCCAAGTCTCCTATTAACAAGCCCTTTTCTCCTCTTCAAAGACAGTAAAACTTGTCGATTAATTCTTCAAAATTTACTTCCCCTACAAAGAAAAATTCAGAGTTTTTTTTTTTTTTTTAGTGTATCATCCGTCAAACAAACATTTACTGCACTTTTAATCAAATTGACAGGTAAGAACTCACTGTCGAGCTGATGTTTCAAAACCATCGTTTGACTTTTGAACCAGACGAAGTTAATATGAGGATAGACTTTGGCCGCGTAGAATCTAGCCGTGTTGGATGGAAAAAAGAAGGAAAAACTTGTGGTGAAGCTCTAGCTCTTGCTTTCTATAAAAAAGGGATGCCGAGGAAGGGTTGCTTCTCACCCTCAAGAATCAAAATAACTCTCAGTTTTTCTCCTAGTTAGCTAAATTTGTATCTGCTGTTTTTCTCGATCTATTCGGGTCCAATCTCGATGGCGATCCCAAATATTGTTTTGATTATTGGCATCCTCTGCGTCACTTTGATGTCCTTCTGCGCTGGTACGTGGAATCAAAACTCGAAATAAACCTCATTTTACTAAAGTGTTGTAAACCTATTAATTGTTATGGTGTGGTTTTTTTCTTTTTGATATTAAAAGTGTTAGTAGAAAATAAATTCAAAATGCATCGTGACAAATTTAGGGGGCAGTCTAATTAATTTAGGATATGAAGAAATTTCCTTACACCGATTTTTTTTCATAACATTTTTGTTGTTCTAACCTTTACAGGTGGATTTCGTTATACATCAAACACCCATAATCATCATTATTACGGATCTCAAGCATGATACCCTAAATTAAGCGTGATACCCACTATTTATTACGGATCTCAAGCGTGATAAAAGAGTGGGATTTGTAAACTGATGGGTCTCTACAATAAGTTGTTGCCTTGTTTGGGATTCGCGAGCCCTATTTGTAATTAAACAGTGGAATTCAACTGCGTAGACTGGCTAGACGACTTGCTAGTTTATTCTGTTGATTAGTCTTTGTGTTTGCCTTTTCCCATAAAATCTGTGTGTTTGTGTGTTTTGCGTTCTCTTTGTACTTGAAACATTGTCACGAGTGGACCTTGATTTGTTTGATTGTGTCATTCAAAAGTTTATATCGCGTTTCTTTTCTCCCTTTTCATTATTTTCCCCTTCCATGGTGGTTCGGAAATCGGAACCAATGATGTTTGACCGTCAAGTAAGGGTTAACGACGGAGCAAAATTTGCAAGGACGATTGCCCTTTTCAAAGTCATCGAGAGGTTTTCAATGAAGTTTTCATCCACCGCAAAGAATAAATACTATTACTAGGGCACTACACACACTATAGTCTTCTTTTTCTTTTCTTTTTTTTTTTGTTGTTATTATAAGCAACGTAGTAGTAAGTATAAGGAATGCATTTGCCTCCTCATACAAGTGGAAGTGATATCCAATACTTATAGTTGAACCAGTCAATTAACAAAGGGTGTACAATTTCTACACACATTTTTTAATTAACATTTTCATAAATTTAAGGGAATATTTGCTTTAGTTTCAACAATAATGATGAATCATGAACAAATATAAGTAGTTTCCATTCAAATAAGTGCATGGTATATTTCACAAATATTGTCTCTCGGAGCAGTCACCCTGGCCAAAAAGGTCAACGCTTAATCCTGGCAAAAAAAATTCCACGCCTCTGTATCATCAACACCGTCACCTTCCATTAGAAAACTGTAGCAAATCCTCCGGTGGCTCCGCAGAAAACTCTGTCAAATCTTCCGATAACTGCATAAAAACCTCAACCAAACCCGGCCACTCTTCCGTTACTAGGTCTTACATGGAAAACATATCTAAACCATCACAGCTTTGTGAGAAGCTAGATTCAGTTGTTGTACCACAAGATTGCCCCATTCATAATAGTAATACTTGGTTGATTCACAATATCACCAGTTAGTTGGACGCTTGAAGAATATTCCATGTGACAATCATCACTAGTAAATAACTTGATGATTAATCCCGAGAGTTGACTGATTTTCATCAACATGGCAATAACCCTCTTGATTAGTCACCGTAGCATAGTTTATAATTCATCACTTTGGTATAGTTTTTTTTTAACTTATGGGGAAGATTAATTCATTAGCAAGATTTAATTTATATTTTAACATAAAGTGTACCAGGTAACATTGTTTTCTTCTCAGGCAATATAGCAGTTGTGGTTTTCATTACCCATGCCATAGAGTAACTGAATAAGTAGTAGTGTCCATATTTTTTTTTAGATATATTAAACTAAAGTAAAATAGGATTTGAAATTTGATTTACAGGTGGAGTAGGATAATGTAAATTTCCTATTACTGATTACAAAAAGGTTAAATCATAATGTCTATCCTCATCATCATAATATAAATAGAGACGACGGGGGTGTATTGTTTCATCTTCTCTTTTCTCCATCCAAACCTTTGGCAGATTTACCCAAACAAAGTTGATTCCTTTCCCTTATTATTTTGTTTTTTTTTTCCGGATTAATGGAGACAGGGGAAATCAGTGATAGGGAGATTTGTGCCAGTTCCTTATCTGGTGTTAAGAGACGAAGAGTAACTGTTGATGACAAGTTGGATCATCAACCTTGCGTAAACGTTAAATTTAAGTCCTTAACAAAAGAGAGTAAGAGGAAGCTGAACGAGTTATTACAGGAGTGGTCAAAGTGAAATGCTCATCATCAGCATTATTTATCTTCATCAACTGAATTAAACAAAGTATTGGTGTCTGATAAAAATACTTACTTTCCTGCTATTCTAGTTGGCCCTCCTGATAACTCTTCTGCATTTCCATATTGGATGGAAACCAATACTCCATTCCCAATCGATGAAAAATCTGTTCCTCTTTACAATCGTAGGTTCGCGTCCGCATTAACTTCTTCTTCCAAGGATGATTCAAATCTTCAGGGGAGGCTGGAAGCAGAGAAGGCTCCCGTTGATTCAATTGTGGTTCGTACAGCCATTCACTGAAGAAATGCCCCAAACCACGCGATAATGCTGCTGTCATTAAAGCTCGAAAGCAACACATGTCTAGACGCAATCAGAATGCTAGCTCCTGGAATCCAACCCGATACCACCAGAATAAAACTCCTGGTGGGAAGACGGGCTGAAACCAGGATCCCTTATCCCTGAAACTCGCAAGCTGTTAGGACTTGAGGAGATGGATCCACCTCCATGGCTTAACAGAATCCGACAGATAGGATGTCCACCTGCCTATTTAGCTGAACAAGACAAAGAAAACCAACCATCAGAGATTACAATTTTTGGGGCTGATAGAAACAGGGAAGGAGAAATTCTTGAGAAGAGCCTTGCTAAGCCAGATAAAAGAATGACCGTAAAGTTTCCCCCAGAAATAAAAGCAGATAAAAAGCTTTGGGAATCTTGGCCAGCAGAATCTAAATTGTACAGAGATCAGTACTACTACAACAGATGCAATCAAACTCTGGATTCTGGAAGCAGAGGTTATTATTATCAAGACCGAAGGCCTCCAATGTCTAGGAGTTTTGAAGATGATGAACCCCCTCCTCCGGGCTGTGATAATAATGAAAGGCCCACACCATTTTGTAACTGGGAAAGATATGGTGAGTCTGACTCTTCTTATTATAATCTGGTCAATCCACGAAATAATCTGGAACCAAGAAGTTGTAGTTTTGCAAGATCCTTGTCAGACCGAAGCAGAAGACAACCTTTGGACCGACATGGTTCTTGGTATCATCCCTATGGTTACATATGATTGTTTTTATAGGTAATAAGGACTTGTCGACTTTTACCACTGAAAATCGAACATTGAATTTAGCTGTGATTAAAATATTTGTTGGAAAAGTTTTGCCCCCAAAAAAGATCTACCCGGCTAGAATATCAAACAGAGTTTTGTCTCCCGAAAAAAAGTTACCCGACTCGAATTCAGATTAGTCGAAGCAATGACTTCGTATATTAGGTGCTTAATATACCACATATATATATATATATATATATATATATATTCTTTGATAAAGTATATCAACATAAAAATAACAATTTTTTTTTTTTTCAGAAATTTCTCGTGTTGACTTCTTCGTCTCTTTAGCAAGACATGAATATATGTAAGTGAAAAGTTAGAGTTAACTCACACCACATAACCACATGCTAAAGTATGGTTTTTTACTTCTGGGGTGTTAGTAATTTCTATATGGTTTTAGCTTTCCACTTACACTATATCTCTCCAAAGTACCTAAGCATGCAAATTCATTATTGATGGCAGGTTATTGAGCCATACATTTACATTGGTATTGAGGTTCTTAAAGATTTCAACTTATTTTGACTATTTTTTCCAAATTAAGTTCACTATATTCATATAAAAAATTTATCATTTCTATGATAAAGTACCAATTTCTATGATATAGTTACTTCCTCGCTATTCAATTGTAATAAGAGGAGTTTTGCGGAGGAGCCGCACCAATTGTCCAGCACCGAAACAACATGTAAAGATGGAGAAAGCAAAAGGTCAAAACGGAAAAAAAAAAAAAAACTGTTTCCTATGTTTTGGTAGTTGAATGAGAAGAGATCGGATCAAGTTACATAAGACGTGAAACCACAATCTACACAGGGCCCAAGCTTGTTGGATTCTTTCTGCTGAAAAAAACAAGTGTGAAGATAGACAGAAGTTGTGCAAATTATCAAATTAAAGCGTTAATATTGAGTCAAAGTTTTCTCTGTAATACTTTTTGTTCCACTTCAAATCTACACTTAGTTGCATTTTTCAAAAACAATTCCTATTGTGCATAGTCGTTTATTATCTATACTCCCTCTGTCACTCTTCAATAATACTTTATTTTTTGTATTATTCTAATTATTCAAAAAATGGCTATCATAATGGAACGAAAGAGATATTAAATTTGTGAGGTATGGTACTCGATTCCCTCTTCGTAATCAGATATTAATCGACGGGATTACAAACAAAAGAAGAACTTTGAACATTCTTCTATATATTCTAGTGTTCAAAAAACTGGTTTGACATAAAAGATGGTGATAATACGAAGTTCATGCGTTAGTTCCCCTGTTACAACCTTAATTAGTGTGGATAGTCCAAATCTATACTTAGTTCATGTGTTCTTTCTATATTCTTGATTTCAATTTTTTGTTATACTCCCTCCGTCCTAAAATTATTTTGTACTAAAAATGAAAATCTGAACTGAATAATAATTTTGCGATATTTGTTTTTGATATGTATCATCATAGAGCATTAATTAATTCTGTAAAACAATCGCTTGTTAAGTGTGTGTTTTTTAATTTTTTTTATCACCTTTGCCAAAGGACCTGACTACCTTAATTATTTACTAAGCAAGGTCAGGGATTTTATTGAAGTTCGATCATTGTAGTTCTACTGCAAAGATATATAATACGTAAGCTCAATCCATAACAAAATAACATGCCTAAATTGTGGAAAAAGCTCCTCTTGTATCACGAATGACAATCACAATCACAATAATCATGATCGGCACCATGAGGAGAGGTATCTTCCGATTGATATCCAAACTGAAATCTTAAGCAGATTGGCTATGGAGCCTGTACTAAGATTCAAACCAGTGTGCAAGCGGTGGTATAATATTATATTGCGTCCCGGAAGTTTGCTAACTTGCTCAAGCAGCTGCCATGGTTCATGTCTACAAAGAAGGAGATGGAGAAGAAAGACTCCATCATAGTACATAACATGGGTGATCTAGTCCCTGAACAAATTGTTCCAACTGGAAAATACCGTATAAGGAATCGTACAATCAAATATTCCCTTTGTCCCAAAATTATTGTCTAATTTCAGATTTTATTTTTAGTACAATTTGAACTAAAAATGAAAATCTAAACTTGACAATAATTTCAAGACGTGGGGAGCACATCCGAGATCATCTTAGCCTGCCGGGATATTTCATTTCCATGAGGATGTTTTATCTCCCTCAAACCGATTATTATAAGTTGGTTTGCGTAACTAAAAGAAGAAGAAATGCCAGGTACTAAGAATTGGGACCGACCTTTCCTGGAAAGACATTGGTTAACGTTTCAGATTTGGGGTGGATCATAATTGTCTTTGCACGAGTTAACTTATGCTTCATAGTCTGCGGTTCTAAAATAGTCTGCTTGGAATTGGAAACTGAAGCTTTTGAGGATGCCAAAATCCCGCCAGGTCTCCTCATGAATTTGAAATTTGTAAGGCCAATTCCAATGACGTTTTCATCCACAATGATACTATCGGTAGAGCACTACATAGTCTTTTTTTTGGGGGGTGGGGGGTGGGGAATGTACAATTTCTACACAAACATTTTTTAATTACCATTTTCATAAATTCAAGGGAAGATTTGCTTTAGTTAGCTTTAACAAGAATGATGAATAATGAATAAAAAATAGTTTCCATTCATATAAGTGAACGGTATATGTTACAAATATTGTCTTTCGTGTTAATACTCTCTCCAGTTTAGCTATCATCTGGCGAAGGGTCAACGCTTAATCCTGGTAAAGACTTCCACGGCTCCGTATCATCAACACCATCATCTTCCATTAGCTGCGTAGAGAATTCCAGCAAATCTTCCGGCAGGTCCGTAGAAGACTCGGGCAAATCCTCCAGTGGCTCCGTAGAAAAATCGAGAAAATTATCAGGCAGCTGCATCAAAAAATCACCCAAATCCGGCCACTCTTTCGTTGATAGATCTTGCATAGAAAACATATCTAAACCATCATAGCTTTGCGAGAAGCTTGATTCAGTTGCACCACAAGATTGACCATCCATAATAGTAGAACTTGGTTGATTCACAATATCACCACTTCGTTGCACGCTTAAAGAATATTCCATGTGACAATCATCACTAGTAATAACTTGATGATTATTCGCCGGAGTTGCCTGATTTTTATCAACCGGGCAATAAGCCTCTTGACTTGTCACCGTACCACGGTTGTAATTCAGCACTTTGGTACCTTGGTCTCGATCTTCTTGCACTTCAGATTGATTGTAATTATCAATTTTTCGCTTCTTACTAACTCGGGTCTTCGGGGAACTCTCGGCACAAGCTTCCGCGGGGTCCTTTATCACACGGCAAATCACGTACTGAGTAGTACCTGAAAACCCTAATTCTTTCAAAGTTTCTTCCGAGAGGTTATATTCATGCATGTACCAATAACCCTTGCCAATGGCGGTTGAACTACTTTCATAATCAACAACATACTTCAACATCCTCATTGAACCCTCAATCTTGTCGCCATTGTAGTTCTTGATCGTCTCCCGCTTAGTTTGCAACTCCCAAGTTCCGCAACCGGCGGTTCTTGACATCTTCTTGGCACTCTTTCTTGATAGCGTGGTGATCACGTAAATAACCCTTCTTGTGTCATTAGTCACTGATTCGTCGTAGAATCCCCAGTAATTGTCGTCGTCAATGCCGGAAAAGACGTTCCAAGGCTCGAAACCCTCGCCACCGTACAAGCTCTTCTCCAAAACTGAATCGGTAACACTTGAAACTTCTTTACCGGAAACCTTGTGACGAAGAAGGCTAATAAGTTCTTGTCGAGTAGGCTTAAAGCGTACGCCTGTAGCAGTGTTTCCTCCTTGATAACCCATTTCTTACGTAAAAAGAATCTCGAAACACAAACAAGAAATCAAACAATCTGGTGAAGGATTGTCTTATAGCAACCAGGCTGAAACGATGAAGAACGAGGATGAACGTTGCTAATTGCTACAGCACTTTATATATGGGGGATTGAATAGGGTTACACTTATATAATGGATGACTCGTTTCCTTCCTTTGATCGAATTTCTTAGCGGTGGAAATTCGGTTATCGATTGCGCGTTTAGTTTGTTAATTACGATAGTTTGTTAGGGAGATAATTACGTGATATACTTATCTTCTCCGTGTGTGTATATAGGTAACCTAACGTCAAAATTCACGGGCCAAGCAGAATTGCCGTTTCTTTCATCTTTCCTGCATATATACAGCATATAATAAAACTCGTGATGCTGAATTTCTGATATTTTTGGTTCAACAAATAAAAGTTTAAATAACTGGATAATCATCAAACGGATATATATAATTTATTAATAGTTTGAGTTATTTTAGAAGTGCCTCCTTCATGTAAAAAATAAAAAGGGAGACAGCAGTACAATTCCTTAATTATAGTAGACTGACTTCTCAGGGATAATCCAAAGAAATGTTTCACTTTGATAACAAAAAAGAATAATAATAAAATAAAATGTTTAACTTTGATAACAAAATAATTAAAAATATATGAGTCTCGTCAAAACCATTGACCGAATTCGATCGGTTCAGTGAAGCATCCAAAACTCTAACCATCTAGATCTGTTTTACCAATAATTCTGCATGACAAAATTTTTGTGATGCAACTACTGAAAATTAAAAATGGATATTTTCATTAATAAACATATTTTTGTGATGTGTAAATGAATGTTTTCATTAATAAAGCGATGTATATACAGGATGCTTTTCTAAAGTGAATTCAGTCTGCTATAGATAAAAAATAAAATTTGGATCCACCCTAATGCTATAGAAAAAAAAAATAGAGGTAGTAAACAAGCCTATTCTTCAATAACATCTATTCAAACCCTAATTATTATTCTCTCCGTCTCAAAGCAATTATCATAGTACTTTGACATGAGTTTTAACTCGAATATGAAAATACAACAGTGATTATAATATTTGTTGTGAGAGTTTTAATTTTCGAAAAGAACCTACGTCGATTTGAATTTGGATCAGTTAAAATAATAATTTCGGATATCGGATATGTAACAAAAAAAAAAACTGAAATAATCACAATTAGAAAGCTCACTTTATATTTTGAAGTAAAATAATTGTTAATTTTTGCCTGGGTGTGATCAGTGTCGGGAAGTGAACGAAGAGACCTAATCAAGTAGTCCTCAAATTTCACTATATCTTTAGAGAAATTACATAGTGCTTCAAATGATTAGTGGTCACATAACTGATGTGACGGAGCAATTATTGTTGGAGGAACAGATAGAAGAAGAAAAATACTCCTGGTTAAAATCCCTTCAGAAATGAAAACCAAGCCCACGTCAATAAGTTATAAGACAAATTGACTAACATATAGACTTATCTGTGTGGGACTTCTACATTCCTTCCATATTATACAATTTTTTGTATAAGTTTAATAATATATATATATATATATCATAATAAGTTTGAAAAATATGGAGGACAAGAAAAGACGTTTTAAGAGCACAGATTGAATATCTTAAGTAATTATAAGATGGCAATCCAATCATCCAAGAAGCTAACGCACGTAATATCTTTAGAGATTATCATATAGTGTTTCAAATAGTGTCATAAAACTGGATGTGAATCGAGCAATTATTGTATGGGAGAAACAGAACGGAAAAGAAAAGAAGAACAATATAGAAAAGAAATATATATATTAAAGGCAGATTGAATAATGGAAAATCTGATCACTGTGTTTCTGTAGTTTTATATCTCTGAAAATATTTTGAAACACACAATTGGTGAAAACACCCTACTTACGCACGCTCACACAATTAGCGGAACTTATTACTGCCCTTTGAAATGATCATAATGAATAGATTAGTAAGAGAAAGAAATGGACAGGCTCTCATTCATGTGCTGTAAAGTGTAAACTTGCCTCAAAATGTCAATAGCTTTGTTCCGTCCGTGCTAAAATTATTATCACACAACAAGTAGAAAAATTATTTTCAGGCGAAATTAAGGAGTCTTTATAGTCTTAATCATTTTTAATCTACTATGAGGAAGGAAATTTTCTTATACGTCCAGGAATTCGTAATGGGAAATAGTTCCCTGCACATAATTTTCACTATATATCCAGCCAGTGAATTTTGACAAGATTATGGAGCTTGTAGCATTTGAATGACCATCAATATTTTTGTTGTGTCTGCATGATCTCCGTAAGTAGGAATAGAGTCGAAACTCCTGATTTTTCATTTTAAACCTCAGTTTAGATATGAAGTTGAGTTTATTATGAGGATGTTTTCCCTTGGTAGAGGAAGATTTCAATGATCTGCGCAGGTTAAAAGTTGGGTTCAGCATGGTGCTTTAGTCTTTTTTCACCTTCAATTTCACAATTAACGAAACTAACATTTTTAGCATTTGACCTTGTTTTTCTGGTTGGTTCTTTCTTTTTAAGGCATCGTGGCCAATTACCGGCCATTTAAGTGAAGAAATCCATAAAACAACAGAAAAATTAGGAAACAAATAAAGGAGATGAAGAACATGCTTATAAAAGTTCAAATGTGGAATTGAAATGTGGAAACTGATTAGAGAAATCAAGACGATTCTTTGGCACCGGTCCTTATTATAAGGAAGTTTGTATGGTTCTAAATTTTATTTAGTATGCATGTTCTTTCTATTGAAAATTAAATCTTAAGAATATTTTTTGCATTAATTATGTTATTCTTATTATTATAAAATCTTTTTAAGGTTTATCTTTAATTGGAAAAATATACTAAATAAAATTTATGACAAATCAAAATGGCAACTTCTATCCACTTTCCTATTGTCCACGCTCGTACTATATTTGGGAAAAAATACACATTACGCAAATTCTTAAGTGCATCCGGAACTATCATGGTTCCCCTCCTATTTTTTGTACATATGATCCTTATTGTACCTTTTATCAAACTTCTTATGTTCTGCAACTTTAGTCCCTATGTCTTTTTTCTCTCTCCTCTAAAAAACATCTCTAATTTTCAAACGAGCATAACGCTCAATCCATAAAGAATTTGTGAACGAATTATATATGAAATTTATAGTACTCGTCGAGATCTATCCAACAAGATCCATATCAAATAATAAGGTGGATATCCCATTTAAAAAGATGGGTAACCAACTATTTTATATTCATAATGTTGTGTTACTGATATATCTTGATCCGTGAATAATTAGAAAATGAATTATACATAAAATTTATAGTACTCGACGAGATCTATCCGATAAGATCAATATTGAATATTTTTTTCAAACTTTAAATGCATTTAAATTTACGAGCAGAAATGAAGAAAATATTTTTTTTTCTAAAAATGCTTACCCATTTGATTTGTATGTCTATCCAACTTGTTTTGTAGTTGTTATCCAACGGGTTTGTATGCATATCCAACTTATTTGTATTGGATATGCAACTTGTTTATATGACTATCCAACTTATGTGTATTGGTTATCCAACAGATTTATATGCTTATCCAAGTTATGCATACTGGTTATCCAACTTGTTTGTACTGAATATCCAAATATTTTGAGTTGTTTATACTGGATTGGTGTACCCAGTATTTTTTTGTTTTTCTCAACTTCTGGAAAAGATAACGACAATGAGTTATTTGGGGATGATGTGATGATGGAGGATGCTTTTTTTTCTTTTTTTTTTTCATATTTAGGATGCTTTGATAGGTACATTCAAAGGTCTTGGATATCCCACAAAAAATGCTCAAAAATATCGCTAAAAGATTCCTAACATAAAAAAAAAAAATGCTTACATCCAAAATCATTTATCTCTCGCAAAAATATCAAAGTGATCGTATATTCTTATTGGATAAATAGTACAAACAAAATGGATAATCAGTTCAACTATTATAAATTGGTAGAATAATCAGCATAAAAAAATCAGACAAGGATATTAAAAAAAATTATAGAAAAGAAAAAAAAAGTTAGAGAAACAGTGCAAACCGATTAGATAATCGGTATGAAAACATTGGACAACCATTTTTCCAAAACAAAAAAAGGAAAAAATGATTGGATAAACATTATAAACTATCTGGATAATCAATGAAATAATTGGATAAGCAGTACAAATTGGTTGGATAACCAGTATAAACATCGGACAGTCATTTTCATAAAAAAAAGCAAGGAAAAAAAAGGTTGGATAACTATCGCCAAGAAGTTGGAATGTTGGATACTCGGTAAGAACATAACATATTGACAGACATTCTCTTTCTCAAAAAAAAAGATCGGATACAAACCCGGTTTGGATAAGCAAGGAAAATAATTGGATAACCAGTACAAGTCGGTTGGATAGTCAGTACAAACAAGCTGGACAAGAACTTTTGTAAATAGTAATATGATAAAGAATGGTAGAGAAGAGAAAAAACGGCTGGATAAGTGGTACCATTCAGTTGGATACCCACTATTAACACGTTAGACAACCACTTTTTACAAAATAAACGATTGGATAAGTAGTACAAACATAATGGATATTTAGTGGAAAGACGCTGGATAAGTACAAGAAAAAACAAAAGGGTAGGCATCTCGATTTAAATTCTCGTGACATTCTCTCCACTTTAAACTAGGTTGGATAAGTAGTACCAATTAGTTGGATAGATAATCAATACTAAAATATTGGACAATGATTTTCTAAAAAAAAAAGTGATTGGATAACCAGTACAAAAAAAACGGATAATCAGTACAAACCGGTCGGGAAATCAGTATGAACACAATTGATAAGAATTTTCTCGGGAAAAAAATGATTGGATAACCAATAAAAACCGATTTGGAAATCTTTTATAAAAAAAATAAAACAAAAAAAATACACGGGGAAACAATATCAAGTAGTTGGATAATCAGTATGAACACATTGGACAAGTATTTTTCCAAAAGAAAAAAAAAATAATTGGACAAGTAGTACAAATTTATTTGGACAACTAATAAAAAAATAATTAGATAACTAATACAAAATGGTTGGATAATTAGTACAAACAAACTGGATAAGTATTTTCGTAAAAAAGAAAATGATTGGATAACTAGTACCAAGTTGGTGGATAGTCACTACGAACATATTGGACAACCATTCTTTAAAAAAAAATGTTGGATAACCAGTATAAACAAAATGGATAATTAGTTAAAAGTGGTTGGATAATCAGTGAGAACAACATGGATAATCGGTGGGAACAACATGGATAATCGGTGGGAACATATTAGACAATGATTTTTTAAAAAAATTAATTGGATAACCAGTACAAACAAAATGGATAACCATTTCAAACTGGTTGGATAATCAGTATGAACACAATAGATAAACATTTTTTTAAAAAAAAAAAGTATAATCCATCATTTCTGCCCATAAAATTTAAATCCGTTTAAAGTTTGAAAAAAATATTCGATATGGACCTTGTTAAATAGATCACGTCGACTACTATAATTTTCATATATAATTCATTTAAAAATTCTTCACGGATCATGAAATATGCGCAATATAAGAATATCCATATAAAATAAGTTGGTTATTCATCTTTTTAAACTAGATATCCATCTTATTTCTGTCCATCAAAATTTAGTCATTTTTAAGTTCAAAAAAAATATTCGATATTGATCTTGTTGGATAGATTTTGATGAGTACTATGAATTTCATGTGTAATTCGTTTTTTTAATTATTCACGGATCGAGAGATATACTCGTTTGAAAATTGGAAATATTTTATGAGGAGAGAAAAAAAAAGTGACAAAGCCTAAACTTGCAAAACATAAGAAATTTGAGAAAAAAAAGTACAATAAAGACTAAAAATGTAAAAAATAGGAAGGGGTCTATCATAGTACTGGGTACACTCAAGATGGTCTCCTATTAATAACAGTAACGTATCAATCTTTTCACTCTCTTCATCCATTCACATTGAGGAATGATATTTTCGGTGAAAAACAAATTCATAGTGAAATTGTATTGTGACAAGCGAGTGAGTGACCAAGGATATGCTGCTTTACAGTTTCCAACGTCGGAAAAGCTGCCATGCACATAAGCCGGTAGACTAAGGAATTGGAACTCTTGGCTCAGCGGGAGTGTACCCTTGGTCGGCAGTCCCTGCAGAGTAGTAACTTTCATATATGGAGTTTCCCAGATTTTCTGTTCTACTTCTACTGGTGATTCCGGCATATGCTGTTCTAGTTTCAACAGTCCAAACAAATAGGATTCAAGGGTTTCTTAGTTTTAAATTACTTGTGAATGAGGTTTTATATACAACCAGATCATGATAGTCACTAAGAAAAAAGAGAACAAAAGAGCTGAGACTTTGATAGAAAAGTCAATGGCTATAATGCGGACGGTTGTTATTACTCGAGCTATATTATAGGAGAAATACCTTCTTCAAGGAGTATTGCAACTAGTTGGGATATCATTACGCAAGGACGGAAGTAGACAATCAGACTATATATTGCGGCTATAAATGGCATCACTGAATGTTTAATATTATTTTTGTCCCACAAAAATAATTTAATTTTAAAAATGTAAATCTTAAATTTAGGATTACGAGATCATTATAACATAAAATTAATTATTAAATTGATTAATAATCATGAAACTTTATTTAATTTTTTATATTAACTTTTTAATTTACGATATTAAGTTATCTAATTTTTTTATTTTAATCTTTCAAATTGGACAATTAATTTTTTTGGGGACGAATGGAGTATCATATTGCGTGTTATTCATTTTTGGGTTAGCCAATCAGGGTTCTATGATTATAAATGCTCAATCGCATCACTAATAGCCTAGGATCACTTTTCATACGATAAATTCATATGCTTCAACCTTAAATGAGTATGCCAGTAATAAATTAATTATTTCATAAAGCCTAAGAACTTCACGTTGATTTGGAAAATGTTACTTCCGATTTTATAACATGCATTGAAATCGGAAGGGAGTATAGTATATCTTGATAGCATTTTGGATGTTAATGCAATGTAAGAAAGCCACATTTCATAACTGACACATTACATTAATTAGGCTCAAAATAAATAAGAACAGTACATTACATAGGGTATTTAGGCCGAAAGAACTAATCACAATACTTTAAGCTCGACTTGTAGAGAGGGTGGCCTTCGCACACCACTACATTCTCTCTCATTTCACTTTACACACACTTCCGAATAATGATATACTACAGGTTCACGGATGGGCTGAGAAGAACGCAAGCAGGCCCACTAACGGAGCATTAACATAAGTAGTGGGCTCAGACTCCTGAAAGAAAGGCCTGGCGTCTGGGAACGCATCTGTGGTGTTGGGTCCACCAACCACAGCTCCAATCAAACGGTTGGGATTTGGGTTTGGACTGAGGAAATAACGAGATCCTTCTTTGCACCCAATGTGGGCCGGGTGGGCCTGAATGGACGGTAACGAACTGGCTCGATGGTGGATCCTCTGCGGGTAATGTGCTCCGTAGCCCACCATGTACGACATTCCCATCGGATTATCTCCAAGAATGTAGTCCACCTGCCACGTAGGTCCATTAGTCACAGGAACAATACAAAATAACAAACCGAAATTTGTAATACTAATATATATTGTGCCATTTTGTGGAATTTTTGATGAAATGATCGTTGGGCTCGGGTAGTTGAGTCCCAATCACAGCCTTCTTGTGGACCCTATCTGAAGCTACCGTTGAGATGAAGGGGTCCCGAAATGGGTTCCAAATTAATAGGGTTACGCCAGGTTAGAAAATACCTATGGACCATACATCTAACGGGTGGCATGAAGTTTCCCCACATTTTTGTGATTCACTTGTCCCATTGGGGGGAAGGAATTTGGCCTCACAAAAGCGATGGAAGAATGGAGCTAAATTTATGAAGTAACCAAATTTTTGGATCATATCCATTTCATAAGTATAGATTTATTTATTATTATGAATTTGCTCTGTGCAATTTTATTTTTTATTCTTTTCGTGAAGGGGAAAAAAAAAAGAAAAGAAAATTGAGATTTGAATTACCTGGCGTTTGGCTAAATGTTTGAGGAGAGCAGGAGAAGCAGAAGTCTCGCCACATGGCACGGCTTTATTGGCGTGACTTAGATAATTGGAATAAGCGAGCAGCAGGAAAGATAAGGACGTAACGTGCTGCATGTTACACACTCCTTCTTTCACGATTAATCCACCTAAAATCATCATTATGTTTAAATATATAATAAATATAGATATATTATTTGAAGGAGAAAAAAAAAACCCAGGAAAATAATTAAAAAGTATATAGGAGTATTGTTTAACCAGGAGAATATTGGATTTGAGGATGAGAAATTCCAGGGAGTATAGAGCAAATAAAACCATCTGCATTCCTCTGAAATGCCTTTAAATCGTCTGATTTTCCCATTAAAACTTCCTGTCAAAATAATTATTAGTAATTAATTTGTTTTCAAAAGAGAAAGAAAATCACAAATAAAAATGGGTGCTGGATTCTAGTCATGTGACTCTTGACTTCACACTGAACAGTGAACAGAGACAACTGACACAACAAACCTACTCAATAAGGCCAAAGTCATCCAAATAAGGGAAACTCACATTCTCCTCAATAAATAAAGCTATCTTCCCCCAATCCAAAATTTTCAACCAAAGAAATTAAAAATAAAAAATAAAAAAGGGATCTTCTTTTTCTTACAAGATCTCATGATTATAAGTACTATACACTAGCTATGGACTCATAGGTTGTAATGTAGACCTTCAGCATGGGAAGAACTGTGTTATCAGGCCTGAAAAAGCACATGCATACAACAGTACTAATTCCCTTGGCTCCCCCACCAAATCTAATTCATCATTAATAAATTTGGATCAAACCTTTTGATTTTATAATTGTGTATAAGTATGTCCAAAAAGAAGCTTTGAAAAAAGATAAAAAAAAATCTCCTTGAGCGTATACAATGCAGTTGCTTTATCAAGCAGCACAGAAAAAAGTGAAGGATTTTTCTTCTTGATAATTGATGTAATAATTCAAAGGCATTGTTCTCCACTGTACTCTTTCAAAAGGGCAGGCAACATGTTTAGTATTATGGTGAACTAGTAGCAGTGTACATTGGTTTCGTAAACCACTAAATACTCATCTAGATTATAAAAAAAAAAAAAAAATACTTCATGTTTGCTAAGTTACTATTGTAGTCAAACGGTTTAGTTACTCTGTTTTAAAATTATTATTATTCAATTTTCATTTTTCATTTTTAAGACAATTTGAATTAAAACTGAAAATTAAAACTGAACAATCATTTCGGGATCGAGAGATTAATTTAGTTGCGTTAATTGGTAGCCGTTGAAGAAGGGTGTCACAAAGAAATGATTTTCACTCCAAGTGAAAGCAACATGACTTGAAGTCATCATGTGCATTTATGTGTGTTAATATATGTATATATATATATAAATTGTAACCTAGATTGTAGGAGCAAAATAGTTCAAAGCAAGTGGACCCTTTATTCTAATCATTCATGATCTCTATTTATATCCTTTACCATGTGATCGCATGGATTGTGTTACGGATTACCACCCCAAAAAAAAAAAAAAAAATCAAAAACACCCGCGAGACAAAAAGAATAAAGCCATAAAATTAAAAAAACAAAAAAGAAAATCCACTAAACAAAAGACAAAATTAACTAATCAATCACATTAAGAATATCTGTTCACCTTACCTAGTTCAGTATAATTGGGTTTTAATTAGTTTTCCGGGATAAGTGGTGGCGGTGATTGAGAAGGAAGACAAACCTTGGAAATGAGGACATTGATTCCGGCGTGTTTGTTATCCCATCCGAACTCATTGATGGTGTCTGCCGCCCTCAAAACGACTTCGTTCCTCACAATGTACTCCCTGTATTCCCGCCTCCTGGACGCCTTGTGCAACCAGGCTGCTCCCCACAGCAACTCATCCTGTATATAATATCATCATTATTCATCACCATTTCAAAACATATATTATTATTAACCTTAATATTAGCCTAAATCACCGGACTTCAACCCTCATTAAAAAAGGGAAAAAGTAACTAGTAATAGTAAATTCGTAACTTTACATGATCCATAATCCTACAGGTTGAAATAGGCGATATTTTGTCCCATGAAACAAATTACTCAATAAAGCAAGCAGAATGATTAAAGGTCACATTTTTGTTTTAGTAAAAAATGAAGGAATATATCAATACTTGGTCTTTACTCCTCCTATATACTTTTCTCTTTCATTTTTTCCTTACAAAAAAACTCACAGAAGAGAATTGACAAGCAAGAATCAAAAAGTCCAAGTCCCAAATACTATTATCATCGTTTTTAAAAAGAAAAAAATCATGTCTTAGATAAGTATGTTTTTTTTTAAAAGCAAAATGGTCAGTACTTGTACGGCTGTACGTGAGCTTAAAAATACAGGAAACAAACTGTGGTACTATTAATTAAATATAAGGGTTAAGCCAATGATAAGGTGGGAAGTGATGATTAGCCCAAAGAAGGATAAATTAAAGAAATGGTAGATTCTCAGAGAGAGAAGGATTTATTTACCTGGTAACCATTAACGTCACAATAAAAAGGGCAAACTGCGTGACGCAGGCTGGAACTGTACGCACCCCGGTGCCTGTCAGCAAACTCGAACACCTACAACAACAACCGTTTCACACACACACACACACTTGAATCAGATTCATTTAATTGTTCTCGTTAATTGTACTCCCACAGTACGGTACTACTCTCCCAAATTTTTTATTAACACCAGTGATTAACACTTAATTAACCCTTTACCCCTCGTTTCATCTCATTTTAATAGTCACCTTTTGTCATATGCCAATTGAGGAAATTGAAAGGTTCTACAGCACATACGCTCGTGGGTAACTTTTTCCTATTTCCCGCAACAATGCCAGAAGTAAACCTCAAACCAAATTTTATTTATAGCATTATATTTATAGCAACCTTAAAAATATATATATATATATATCTTTAATTACTATAAGATAATAAATCTCCGAATAGGAATAGATGGGTACGAAGTTAATATGACCGGCAGTCTGACTTTATTGGAATCCCCAACGTTGTGAAAAGAAGCGCACCAACAAAAAAAAAAACAACCCATCAGTACTGTTCCCTCCCTCCCTCCCTCACTCTCAATCACTTGCTGCCACATAAAGTTACTCCTCTTTCCCTCAATTACATGCCATTTTCACTCATCCCATTCATGTACTTAAAAAATTCACTATTTATAATTACCAAATTCGTTCCAAATAAAATGTTACTAATAATGTGAATGTGTAACATTGACGAAATGACCAAATGCTAGTGAATAATTAAGAGACTGACCTTAATGGCACGATTGAGTAGCAGTCTAGAGTAAGCCGGGTCCCACCGCCGGAAGACAATGGAAGCAGCTGCTAATGCGGCGGCGGTTTCACCGGCCACGTCGGAGCCGGGATGGTCGGCGTCAACCTGGTACACAGTTCGTGACGTGTCCATATCTTCGGGTCTTTCCCAGCAGTCATGGTCGGAAATCGGGTCGCCGACTTGGACGTAAATAACGCCGTCCTTCGCCGTGGCCTTCAACAGATAATCCGTGGCCCAACGCACGGCTTTCAATGCATTACCCAATTCGCTCCCCATGTTCTTCCCGAAGTCTATGATGCTCCACGACAACAATGTGGTCGTAAAGGCCATCGGAAAACCGAACTTTATGTTGTCTCCGGCGTCGTAGTATCCTCCGGTCAAATCCACCTACAGAATGCAAAGAAAAAACAACAATAAATAAGTTAGCATTTTGGTTACAGAAAAGAGGGCATAAAAGTAAAATGTGGTGGCGGAAAATGAAGGAACTTACGCCGGCGGATGCTCCATCGTGCAAAGCGGAGTCCCGGCGCCAACGGAGACGTTGGTCCGGTGGAAGCTTGCCTGAACGCTGGCCTTCGAAGAAGAGGATGCTTTTTTTAAGCGCGTCACGGTAATCTTGGCCGCCGGAGACGGCAACGGAGTTGTTGAGGAGAAGGTTTAAAGCAATGGCGAGGAAAATGCCGGAAAATCTTGCGATGGCCGGAAAGAGGTGGCAAGATTTTCGCGCCATTTTTTTAGTGAGGGAGTGAGTGAGGATTGAGATGAAGTAAAGAGCAAGCGAGTGAGTCAATATATTTTTATATAGGAAATTGAGGAGAAGAAATGAAGGAATGCTTGTCATTGGATTCTCGAAGGTGGGCCAATGGCCATAGGCCACGTGGGAATATCTGATTGGCTCAGAGTAGTAGTTTCGGTTATCTATGAGGAAAGGGGCTTGACCGGTTCCTGCTCTGGAGAACAACTTGACCGGTTCGATTGAGCGAAATTGAGCCGGGGATTTGGGAGGTTTGGCGGTGGGGTCATTTTTCCATTTTTCATTTCTTTTGGGGTTTTGGGAAAAACGGTGTGCTGGTGGGAATGGTATTGGTACGTGAACTGTGATAATGTGAATTATAAAGGTGAGGGTTGTGGTTCGATACACCGTCAATTGATGGGTTCCACGTGGAAGGTCTGAAAATTGGAAGAAAGAAGTCAAGTGAGATTCAGGGGATAGGGTATGGGTATACTATAAGAGGACTGATCTATGGATAGGAATGTACAAAGTTTGACTATAAAATCCATCATTTATTGATTCCCACCATTTGATGAAATATTGAAAAAAATGGAGTCCTTTTTTAGTTCATTTGTTGGGCATGCAATGTAGGTTAGACTAGTGAAAGCAAAGTCAGTGACTAGGAGTTTATTAGCGACAACTAACAATAATCGTTTTGAAACAGAGGTAGAATATATCTTAAACTCCAAACAAATGGAAACAAATTAAGCTACCATGTTTTTAGGCGGAGGAGTGGAAACAACTTGTTGATAGTCCAAAATAACGGGTGGTTACATATAATTTGCAATAAAAAGTGTTGATATTGGAGAAGTTGTCGTTGAAGTATGAATAGACAGATCCGTAACGGCTACCTTTGCCGGCGGGATCGACTGCTAGAGTTGAGTGGATTTCAGCTTCCCAAAGTCAAACGGCAAATTTATTGCTGTTTGTGAGTAAAGCAGCAGTAAATTTTAGAGGCAGATTAGAGCTGTTATTTTGGTTAATAAATTGATCAATTTAATAAAGAGTTCAATGTATATTTAAAAACAAGCCAAATAATCGTATTGTTTCATTAATAGAGCTGGTATTACTATGACACGGTATAATATATGTGGATTTTTTTAATCAGAAAAAAAGAAAAAAGAAAAGAGAGGTGCTTGCTATCCTTTATAATGTGTGGCTCGGCAGCCGCACAAGGTACAAGTCCCCCACCTCTATGTCTTTTGTTGTTTGTTTATTTATTTATTACAACCTCGAGTTAGTTTCAATTTTATGGTCACCTGGCTCGAAACTCCTCCTTTTGAGGTGTTATGATTTCGTACTAGTCTTTTGTTCTAACCTATTTGGAACAAATCAACAATCCTTTCTAGTTCAAAAAAAAAAAAAAAAAATACAATCCTTTCAAAACCAAGTCAAAAACTCGTAACGGCGTGCATTGAGTTTAGAGTTGCAGGACATTCAGTTAGTTACTACTATCATGGGCCTTTTGAAAGAAAAAACCGGGTGTCAAAAAAAAAAAAAAAGGAAAAACCGTGAATAAGCGAATTGCCTTTTTTTTTTTTTTTAGTTATGATAATTTGGAAGAATCATGTGAAAGTTGTCATATATGGATGAGATTGTGACGACCATGCATGAACACAAAACTGGAATTGAGTTGTAAGTGAGAAAAAAAAAAAAAAAAAGAAGAAGAGAGAATTAAAATTACTCCCGGTGCTTATATACGTCCTTTTTTCACCCATTATTGGTGTGGTCTTAAGAGTCACATTAATGGAAATGAACTCAATGTGCAATCGGCAGTGCAATCATAACATGTTCGTCACAAATCCTTGAACACTAGGTCTTGCTTCTCACCAGCTACGCCTTATAAGCAGGTAATCCTTAAAAGATAACATTCAATTTTCACCGGCAAATACCCTTTTGCATCAGACTAACTAAACAAATTGGTCAAATAAATTGGCAAAATGGCTTGGCTGGACAACCTTGAAGATAGAAACCCTTATTTAACCAACTAGAAAGGCAAAATCTTCACTCTCGTTCATTCAAATAATAAATATTCTCTCCGTCCGAAAATTATTGTCCATTTAGATTTTCATTTTTAGATCAATTTGTGCTAAATTAAAATTTTAAATTAGATAATATTTTCGGAACTGAAAGAGTATTTTATTTTGTCTATCTTGAAATTGGTCTCGATTTTGACTTTGGTTCGTAAGATAACTGTTGAGAACCTCTTTCTCGAGTAGGGTTCATCCCTTTCCAAACATATCCACATATATATATATATATATTTTTCTTTCTATGAAATTTTTTATCCTTCTTTATCCAATTTTCAAATGAGTCCTAGACCTTCATGTTGCACGGATTTTGCGTAATGGACTGTATTTTATATCATTCTCGTCTCCAAATATTTTTAGTGGTTTCAGCTACTTATCAATCTTAAAATTCATTTGCTAGGAAAACGAACGGAATATGTGAAATTGCAAAAATTTAGATAGAAGTCTTGAGTTTTTTTTTTTTTTGTGTGGAAGCAAATGAAGAAAAAGACAACATTGGACAAAGCCAGTGATGAAAGAAATTCAATTCCATGTCCAACATTATTACCTAATAATATAATCAACAAGTAAAAGTGTAAGAGACCAATTCTGGAAACCGAATTGTGGGCTTTGCGATAAAGATTTGTAATTGGGCTTTTCCATTTCGAACTTTCTGTTGGGCAAAAACAAAGATGTGTTTGATCGACTTGTACAGTTGTGAACATAGGACGCGGTACCATTAGGATTTAGAATTGGAAAGCTAGTAAGCTACAAATACTGAAGCAGAAGAATTGGAGACCCAAGTTCCAAATTTGATTTTGAAGACAAATTTGCCATCATATTGGCAGTACAGCCCCGCTAGAACAATACAGTTTCACCATTTTGGACATCAGGGTTCAAGCATCCCAAAATCTGGAGAGATGTTTTGTAAATAAACTGTTGGCTTCCCATATACCATATGTAAGGAAAAAAAATAAAATAAAATTTTGCCATAGAGAGATGAAATGCAGTCCAAACTCTATACACTTTAGTAAAGAAACCAGCATGTTTTCAGTTCTCCAATTAGAATGAAGGAAAAGTTAGATTATATTGCCGCAACTCAACCCTAACAAAAAGGGGTTGAAATTTAAATTAATTAAGGTCTTTTTTTTTAAAAAAAAAAATCCTAATTTTAACAATTTGGAAGGGGAAAAAAACATACTCAATCCTTTACGTACTCTGTGTATTTTGAAATGAAAACCTTGTGAGAATGGTTAAGCAGAGTATTACAAATGAAATTTTGAGCAAAGTATCCATCTTCGACTTTCCAATGTTTTTTTTTTTTTTTTGGTACTCCCTCCAGTACTTATAATAAGGCATTTTGATTTTTTCTATGTGTCATTTATTGTATGCTTCCAATTAAAAATAAAACTTGAAATACACTTTACAATAAATATGAAAATATATTTTTAAAATTTTATTTTCAATTAAAATAGCATAATCAATGAAATTTAGAAAAATCAAAATACCTTATACTAAGCACTGGAGGGAGCATGCTATAATGTATTCCCCCGCATAATCAATTTTTATTGTATTTGAGGGCTAAATTGACTTCGAATGACCTTCATTTGGGTATATTAGTGGAATGAACAATCTAGACTCGTAATATGTTCATATAAATTCATTAAAATAATTGAGTCCGAGTCAAATGTTGGTTTGAGAAAGCGTTGTTTAGCCGTGATCTTCTAGTTTTCAGTACAGTACATACATACTTGAAAGTAAATTCTTATGCTATTTCGTCACAGTTCTGATTATTTATGCAAGACTCCCAAGATATAGAATAATACTATTTGGAGCCCAATCACGTCAATTCTTTCACGAGAAGTTGTTCTTATGTTGGTCCTTTTTGTCGTATGAACGTACCTTTATGTTTGTTGCATGTGATCTCGATTTTGTTCGTTAGCAGCGGTGGAGGCTTTCTTACTTCTAGCGACTTCCACAAATTTTTTACCCCTTTTCCCACTCTGAAAAGCACATAAAATAACTGTGTTCAGTGATCAATTCTGCAAATGTGATAGGCTTGGATCTAACCTTTTTTCATTATGTTTTGTTTTGTTTTTCATGTTTTGTCCCCATTTTTTGTGACCTCTGCTAATGCCTTGACTGCAGGAATTAAAGTACTTAAATATGTTGACTGGCGTCCAACTGAGTTCCGACAAAGTCTGAAATCATTAATAACTAATTTACAGTATTCACACTAAAACTAATCCACTTCTTCGACAAGTTTTTACATGTACCTACGTGCTTTGCATGATTCACGAAATGAATGTTCTGACAAAATCATGCCCGGCCTCTAAAAGGCCTAATCCATATTTGACATATAAGTTGTGAACAAACAATATGGAGTTAAACTATTGATTTTGTGTGTAACTATGGCTCGAAATTGCGTTAATTGTATCAAGTATGGTGGTATACTTTGATGATATTTTTTTAAAAAAATTGTTATATAAGGTTGGAAAAATATTTAATTTGTATGCAGTGGAGAGAGACTTTGTTGGAAGAATTGCCATGGCGGGGCGGAGGGGTGCGGTTGTACGTACCTGTTCAACTTTTTCTAATTAGTAAAGATATTATAAATTTTTAATAAAAAAACTATATATATTTATAATTTTTTGCATCCCTTATATTGATTTTTTAGTTCATTAATAATTATTTTTTAAATTTTACACTTCCTATATTGATTTTCTGGCTCGGCCAGGAAGAATATATCATACTCAATCTGTGGACGTTTAGAAGTTGTTATATCAAAGAGTACTGATCAACGGTCAAGAGGGATTAAAATAATGGAAAACCAATCTCCTAAAAATATGTTATCACCATTTTAGTAGGGATTCAACGAACCATACGGATATCGACCCTCTAATGTATACATATATAAAAGATAAGTGTTAATCCTTCTATTATGATTTAGAAGTATACTTTAAGCAAAAACATTCCATCTTGTTGCTCCTTGCGTGTAGTATGAAAACTATAAATATAAGCAATTTAATCAGTTGGCGAAGTAGAAAATACATTATGGGGTATAATGTATTTTGTTTGAAATGGATTCTAAAAAATAATTGGTAATTTAAAATGAATGTAAAAAGCTTTATGTTGGGGCCTAATATTGAAATGATGGAGTGCTCAATATAAATTAGCATGATTTGCGGTAGCAGACAAATGAATGTCTCTCGTGTGTAACAACAAATAGACAGTTTTTATTTCGTACATAGTCCAAAGGAAAATGGA